CATGCTATTGCTCCTCCTGCCTTTGTCCTATCTCAATAAAAGGGGCTCTCAGACCCCCAATCGGGGTCGCTCCATCTCGAGAAAGTTCGTGTCCTGTCTTTTCTCAAAATTGGCCTCATGGACGACCCACGGGAACATCACATTTGGTAGCAGAGGATGGTTACGTCACAGCCCTGGTGGCGCAGTGGTTAGAAGATAGTATTGCAGGCTAATTCTGCCAACTACCAGCAGCTCGATCCTGACCATCTCAAGGTCGACTCAGCCCTCCATCCTTCTGAGGTTGGTAAAATGAGGACCCAGATTGTTGGGGGTGACATACTGACATTGTAAACTGCTTAGAGAGGGATGTAAATCACTGTGGAGCAGTATATAAGTCTAAGTACTACTGCTAATGCTCTTCCTTTTCTCCTTCCTTCCTTCCACCCATCCATCCATCCATCCATCCTTTCCAGTGGTTAGAATTCAGTATTGCAAGTTAACTCTGCCCACTGCCATCAGTTCGATCCTGATCAGCTGATCAGCTCAAGGTTGACTCAGCCTTCCATCCTTCCGAGGTGGGTAAAATGAGAACCCAGATTGTTGGGGGCAAGAGGCTGACTTTGTAAACCGCTGTGTAAAGCACTGTGAAGTGGTATATAAGTCTAACTGCGATTGCTGTTGCCAGGGAGGGGGTAACACAGAGGCTAATTTCAGAACCTTGCCTCCTGAATCCATAACCTTACACAGTAAATATCAAATTTAAGCTGGACTCCAGGCACTCTATTTCTCAATGCAGAGAGGTTTCCATGGAAACAATAGAAAGGCTGCAGCACTCAACATTGCCAGGATAAAGGTGAAAGGATGACATCTGGCTACTTTGGAAGGCACAGCTGAATTCCTCTGGTGTTGCGACCCAGAAATTTGGCAGCTGAGCAAGAACGGAAAGATCTACAAGTTAAGAGAAAGACCTGGGTACATTTTGATCCCACCTCAAAAAATAAATAAATAAAGATCTCACTCATTTTACAAATCTGCAATCGGGCTGTGCAAAAGACTTTTGAGTCTCAGCTGCCACCCTGATCTGAAGCTTTTGATTGGAAGTACAAAGCGCTCTATCCTGGATGTGAAAACAGCTCGAGGTCATAATAGAAAAACCGACTCAGCCTTTCGCCTTCAAAACCACCGTTCTGCACTCAAAGCAGGAACTTTCCAGTGGAAATTGTTCAAACTCAAAATGTTTTACCCATCCCTGTTTTCCATCTGTAGGTAAGAGTAAAGAGTGCCCTCGCACGTATGTGCTAGTTGTTCCCGACTCTAGGGGGCGGTGCTCATCTCCATTTCAAAGCCGAAGAGCCAGTGCTGTCCGAAGTCGTCTCTGTAGTCATGTGGCCGGCACGACTCAACTCCCGAAGCCGCACGGAACGCTGTTCCTTTCCCACCAAAGGTGGTCCCTGTTTTTCTACTTGCCTTTTTACATGCTTTCGAACTGCTAGGTTGGCAGAAGCTGGGACAAGTAACGGGAGCTCACCCTGTTACGTGGCTCTAGCGATTCGAACCACTGAACTGCTAACCTTCTGATTGACAAGCTCAGCGTTTTAGCCACTGAGCCACCGCATCCCTTTTCCATCTATGAATGTATCTAAAAAAATAATAAATGTTATATTCCACTAGCAATGGAAATGGGGGAGTGGAACACGAGGACGGGCTGAAAAGGAAGCTTAATTTTACCTGGGTTTTTCCTTGTAGTCACAACGTCATAATGGAGGTCCATCAAGAGCGGGACTTTCCAACTTTGGCAACTTTACGACTTGTGGACTTCAACTTCCCGAATTCAGCACGGCTGGCTGAGGAATTCTGGGAACTGAAGTTCACAAGTTGTAAAGTTGCCAAGGTGGGGGGGGGGGGAGACCCCTGACCTCAAGAACATTGGAAGCAGCAGCTCAGAATAGGCCTTATTGCAAACATTCTTGGCCAACCATGCTTTTTCCTATACAGGTAGTCCTCAAGTTACAACCACAATGGAGTCCAAAATTTATGTTCTTAAGTGAAAAATTTGTTAAGCGAGTTGCTGCCATTTTACGACTCTTCTCGCCACTTTTGTTAAGTGAATCCCCGCAGTTCTTCCGTTAGTCATGCGGTCCTTAAGTGAATTTGCCTTCCCCATGGACTTGGCTGGTGAGAAGGTCGCCAAAGGAGATCACAGGACTCTGGGACACTGCAACCATCATAAATCGGAGTTAGTGGCCAAGCCTCTGAATGTAAATCTCGTGCCCATGGGGTCATGAGATTTACGAGGCAAAGGTCATACATGTGAAAAAGTCACATTTTTTTCAGTGGTGGTGTAACTTTGAACGGTCACTAAATGACCCAACCTTCAAATTTCTAAGTTCTATCATATCTCAAGACCTAAAATGGACACCTAACATCAAACGTCATCAAAAAAGCACAACAAAGAATGTTCTTTCTGCGCCAACTCAGGAAGCTCAAAGTGCCCAAAAAGCTGCTGATTCAGTTCTACAGAGGAATGATTGAGTCTGTCATCTGCACCTCCATAACTGTCTGGTTTGGCTCTGCAACCCAACAAGACAGACAGAGACTTCAACGGATAATCAGAATTGCAGAAAAAACAATGGCTACCAACCTGCCTTCCACTGAGGACTTGGACACTGCACAAGTCAAAAAGAGGACTGGGAAAATATCTACAGACACCTCACACCCTGGACATTAATATCCATCAACTCCTCTCCTCAAAATGATGCTATAAGGTACCGCACACCAGAACAACTAGACACAAGGACAGGTTTTTCCCAAACACCATCACTCTGCTAATCAAATAATTCCCTCAACACTGTCAAACTATTCACTAAGGCTGCATTAACTATTACTATTAATCTTCTCATTAGTCCTATCACCAATTTCCTACCACTTATGACTGCAGGACTGTAACTTTGTTGCTTGTATCCTTACGATTTATATTGATTGTTTCCTAGTATGATTTGATTGCTTATTTGCATCCTATGACTATCATTAAGTGTTGAACCTTATGATTCTTGATGAATGTATTTTGTCTTTTGACGTACACTGAGAGCATCTGCACCAAAGACAAATTCCTTGTGTGTCCAATCACATTTGGCCAATAAATAATTCTAGTCTATTCTATTTATTCTAATTCCATTATTCTATTCTATTCTATTCCATTCCATTCTCCTTCCATTCTCCTTCCATTCTCCTTCCATTATTCTATTCTATTCTATTCTCCTTCCATTAATCTATTTTATTCTATTCCTATTCTATTCTATATTCTAATTCCATTATTCTATTCTATTCTATTCCATTCCATTCTCATTCCACTATTCTATTCTATTCCTATTCTATTCTATTCTCCTTCCATTATTCTATTCTATTCTATTCCATTCCATTCCATTCTCATTCCATTATTCTATTCTATTCCATTCCATTCTGATTCCATTATTCTATTCTATTCTATTCCTGTTATATTCTCCTTCCATTTTTCTATTTTATTCTATTCCTATTCTAATTCTATTCCTTTCCCTGATTTTGAAGAATGTGGTAGAGTTTGTGGCTCGCATTGTCACCTTACCTGACTCCTCTGGGGCAACCAGGGACTGTCCCCGTGAAGCCCCCATGTATGACATTTTTTTCTTTCCTCCAGTTACCGGTACTTCTTCTATACTTGGAGGACTTGGTTTCTCTTTGGGCAGATGGGCCTTCTGGAGCTTGGTAGCCTCATGGAAGGCCATCTCGACCCTGATGTAGTTTTCCTGGATATCATAGAAAAGTCCTAAAGGGAAGGAAAGGGAAAGAAAAAGGAAATAATTATGGTGACGTTGAAAGAGGTATGGAAATGTTAGCAGGTTCTTTGGTATTCACCTAAAATGGAGAGCATTCTCTTTATTTATTTATTTAATAGATTGATTGCCCCCCTTTATTGTGTATCTCAAAACAATGTGCTTGCCTTTTGTTTTCCCAATGACAATCTGATGGGGTGGGCTGGGCTGAGAGAGAAGAACTGGCTCAAAGTCACGCAGCTGACTTTCATGCCTAAGGCAGGACTAGAACTCACCATCTCCTGGTTATTGGCCCAAAGTCACTCAGCTGATTTTCATAGGCCACTATCTTTATCACTACCCCCAATTGTCTCTTTCTTCTTTTCCTGCTAGATTCTCTTTAGGAAAATTTATTAAGGAATAGGGTGATAAGAATAGTGGCATTTTTGACTAATCCTTGGAATTCTGGCTGTCCCAGCATTTAACAGTCATGTGATCATGACCTCGATGCTTGGCCACTGGCTTGGACATAACACAGTTGTAGCATCCCATGGTTCCATGATTGACACTTGCAACCTTTCCTGCTGGCTTTCCCACAAGCAAAATCAATGGGGAAGCCAGCAGGGAAGGTTGCAAGTTGCATCTGAGATAGTCAGACTGTTTTTAAGTTCCATTCGGGCCGAATTGATGTATTCAACTAGATCAGTGCTTTGAGGAAGTATACCGTAAGTATAATCTTTATTGTCATTGTACTTAAATACAATGAAATTGGTTCAGAGGATCGGTTTCCCATCGGGGCTCGCTTACTGCACTTTGCAGATCAGTGGGATACCACCCCTTCGGATCGGCTGGGTTAGAGCCACAGTTAGGGTCGGTTTGGTGCTGGAGTTTATTGTTGGCGTCTGAGAGCGCTGAATTGCTTGGGTTCATCAGTTGGAACTTACAGACTAGTACAGATGGTGCCGACACTCTGGCAATCAACATCTCCAAACCTTCCAGGTTAAATTAGCCAGATTCGTACCTGTCAGAATATTCATGAATTGGCAGAGACATGGTAACAAGGTCAGCCAATGAGGCTTATTTGGAGACAGAAACTTCAGTAAGAAGTCTGAGTGTGGCTTAGCTGTATTAAGCTCTGTGCTGGAAATGAAACTAGCCTGGACTTGTCTGTTGATCTGAACTGAAATGAAACTGTTCTCTGCTGTTGGTATTGTATGTATGTGTGTATATATCAGTGGTGGGATTCAGCCGGCTTGCACTTATTCGGGAGACCCGGTTGTTAACTTTCTAAGCAGTTCAGAGAACCGGTTGTTGGAAGAAATCTCCTTTTGTTTTTTCCCCACTTTACAGGGCTGTAATGAAGGCAGGAAGGAAATATTCTGATGTTGTTTCTAGTCTAATCTTTATTGCTCTGCTTACAGAAACTGCCTCTCAGTTAATCCTTATGACATTGTAACAGCCATGCCCACCAAGTCACATGACCCCCTGAGCCACGCCTACCTAGATGGTCATTAGGGCAGAGACCGGTTGTTAAATTATTTGAATCCTACCACTGGTGTGTATATATGTGTGTGTGTGTGTGTGTGTGTGTGTGTGTGTGTGTATGTTTGTGTGTGTGTGTGTTTAAATATATATATTTAGTGTCACAACCCCTGGTATGCCCCAATTATGGGAGGAAG